TCTCTAAAATTCAGAAATAGACAAGTATGTCCACTCTCTCCACTATTATTCAATATAGTGAATGAAGTCTTAGCCTTATCTAAGGCATGTAAAGGATATTTTAAAAAAAGGAGATGCTGGAGACCTGGCACCATCATTTAGAGCACTTGGGTTCAGTTCCCAACACTCACATGGTGACTCACAACCATCTGCAACTCCAGTCCCAGGAGGTCCTATCCTCTCTCCCATCCACAGGCACCACAGGTGTACATGGGAGTGCATGTATACATACATGCTGGTATTCACACATATACTTCTTTTGTACTTTAAATTTTTATATTATACTATAACTATGGTATTCCTCACTTGCATTTCCTCCCTCCACATCCTGCCATATACCTCTCATTCTCCTCCAAATTCATGGCTTCTTCTTTCATTAACTGTTATTATATGCATGTAATATATATATACATGCTGTGGGATGGTCTGTATGTCAAATGTGTTGCTGATTGGTCAATGAATAAATCACTGATTGGCAGTGGCCAGGCAGGAAGTATAGGCGGGACTAACAGAGAGGAGAATTGAGAGAACAGGAAGCTGGGTGGGGGAGACACTGCGAGCCGCCATCAGGATAAGGAAGATGTAAAGTACTGGTAAGCCACAAGCCACGTGGCAAGGTATAGATTAATAGAAATGGATTAATTTAAGCTGTAAGAACAGTTAGCAAGAAGCCTGCCACGGCCATACAGTTTGTAACCAATATAAGTCTCTGTGTTTATTTGATTGGGTTTAAGCGGCTTGGGACTGGCGGGTGAGAGAGATTTGTCCTGACTGTGGGCCAGGCAGGAAAACTCTAGCAACATACACACACACACACACACACACACACACATATAACATAACTATAACCTGTTAAATCAGTACATACACACACATTTTTTAAAAAGAGGGAAAAAGAAATGAGTCAAGGAGTCAAATTATCTTTATTTTCAGATGGTATGATCCTATATTTAATAAATCCTGGAGATGCTACCAGAAAACTCTTGAATTTGATAAAGACTTTCAGCAAATTAGCAGAATTCAAAATCAACATGAAATATCAAGTGCTTTTCTATATATCACTAATAAAGTTGTTGAAAAAGAATTATGGAAAATAGTCCAATTCACTACCTTAAAATATACCTTGAAATAAACCTAACAAGGGAGTTGAAATACCTTTACAAATAATGGGAAGTCTGCCCATGATCACAGTCTGGCAGAATTTATATTATGGTAATGCTAATATTAATAAAATTTGAAAATTCAAAAAACTACCCATTTAAATTTCAATGATATTATTCATGAAACTCAGTAAAAAAAAATAAATATCCCCAAATTAACATGAAAGCACAAAAGAACCTAAATAACAATGACACTAAGTGGAGTGAACACTTCTGGAGACTTCAGACATACCATAGAGTCACGGTGACTAAGATAACATGGTAGTGGCACAAAAATAGACATGGAGACTAATGGATCAAAGAGGAGACTCAGAAGCAAACCCACAACAGCTGTATCCACTTGCTACAAGGTACCAAGAACATACACAGGAGAAGTCCTTTAAAGGTGTGACCTCTGGTAAACTGATGATGCTCCAGTGAAGGCCCCACAACTTACGCATGTGACAACACTAATTAAACTCAGTGGGTTAAAAAAAGAAGAAGAAAAAGAGGACACAAAGTAGGGAGTAGTATATGGGGGCAATCTGGGAAGAGTTGGAGGTGAGAATTGGGAGATTGTATGATCAAAATACATTGTATAAATCCACAGACCCAATGAAGCTAAATAACAAGGAAGGCTCAAGTGGAGACACAAGAAACTCATTGTGAAGGAGAAATAGAATAGAAATCACAAGTGGACAGGGCGGGGGTGGGAGGCGTGTCTGGATCGAAGGGGAAGTGTGGACATGGGAACAGGAGGGAATAGGTCGGGGAAGATGGAGGGATAGAGTACTGGGAAAGACAACTGGAATCATGGGCATCTATCTCTGGGATGAGCTAGAAACCTAGTGCAATAGAAACTCCCAGGAATTTTTGAGGTTGACCTTAGCTAAGACACCCAGCAATGGGGGACACAGAGTCTAAACTGGCCATCTCCTGTAACCAGGCAAGACTTCCAATGGAGGGATTGGGACATCAACCCAACCATATAACCTTTGACTTAACAATTTCCCCTGCCTACAAGATATGCTGGGACAAAGGTGGCACAGAAATTATGGAGTGGCCAACCAATGACAGGTCCAGCTTTAGACCCATACTATGAGAGAGAGCCCACCCCTGACAATGCCTGGAGGGCCAAGACCCAGAGGCTAGATAGCCAAAAAGAAGAGAACAAAACATGACTGGCAAAAAAGAAAAAAAAGTCAATGAAATGATTCCTAATAATATTCTGCTATACTCAGATATTGTTGACTAGCCCAATTGTCATCAGAGTGACTTCACCCAGCAACTGATAGAAGTGGATGCAGAGACCCATAGCCAAACATTAGGCGGACCTCAGGAAATCCTGTGCAATAGGGGGAGGAAGGATTATGGAAGTCAGAGGGGTCAAGAATACCATGGTAAAACCCATAGTCAACCTGGGCTCATGGGGGATCACAGAGACTGAAACCACCAGTCAAAGAACTTTCATGGAACTGACCTGAGCCTTTTGCACATGTGTTGCAGTTGAATGGCTTGGTCCTCTTGTGGGACTCCTGGCAGAGGAAATAGGGACTGTCTCTGACTCTGTTGCCTGTTCTTGGGATCCTTTCCTCCTGCTGGGTTGTCTCTTCCAGCCTTAATAGGAGAGGAGGTGCCCTAGTCTTGCTGCAACTTGATATGCCATGACTGGCTGATATACATGGGAGACCTGCACTTTTCTGAAGGGAAGGGAGAGGGAGTGGATGGAGGTGAGGTTTGGGGGGAAGGATTGGGAGGACAGGATGGAGGAGAAACTGTAATCAATCAGGCTGGGAAAAATTAATTAATTGATTAATAAATAAAAATACATTGTATACATGCATAAAGTTCTCAAAGAATAAATAAAAGTATGAATAACTACATAAAGAGCTAAGTATGATGACATACACTAGGAATCTCACAACTCAGGAGTGTTTGGCAGGACAACTGCCATAAGTTCAAAGTCAGCTTTGGCTGCAGGGTGAGATCTGGTCTCAAACTATCAAAAACCAAACACCATCAACACAACCACAAGGAGATTCTATCCCACCTCAGTCAAGCCAGAATGGCTATAGAAAAGAAAACAAATGACAACAAAACTGGTGAGGATGGATGGTGAAACAGGAGCCTTTACACCGTGTGAAACTGTAACTAGTCCAGCCTCCATGGAAATCTGTAGGGAGGTTTCTCGAAAAGCCAAAAATAGAAACTACCTTATGATCCAGCTATATCACTCCCATATACACACCCCAAAACAATCTAAGTCAGTCTCCCAACAAGAAATCTTAACGTCCATATTTATTACAGCAGCACTATTAAATATAACAGAGATATGAAACTTAGCTAGATGTCCATACAGAAATGAATGGCTAGAGAATGTGAAAACATATATATGTATATATACATATATTATATAAGACTAATAAAGACTCATAAACATGTGCACACATGCACACACACACACAATATAACAAATATAAAAGGATCTACTGTGAGGAAAGGGTATAAGTAGAAAATATAGATGCTACATGTTCTTTTTCATATGTTAACCTAATTTTATATACATACATAAATGTATTTATATCCATATATACATAAACCATAACATTATCATAAGGCTGCAACCATCTACTTATGTATATTATTGGATAAACCTCTGTGAGATTTTTTTAAATAGAGAAAATTTTAAAACAGAGGATAGAAGAATGAGTTCTTAGACTCGGGAAGCAGTAGAAGAGTCATGAGGACATAAATAAGGTTCTAAAAAGGCACCACAAAGATCCAGTTTGGAGCTGTTCTTTCTTTTTACTACAGTGGTGGAAATGTAACACTATCCAAAACTATGAAACCATATATAGCCTGACACACCAGAATGGATATAAATAAATGTGAAAAGCTAAATAAATCATGAGATTATGCCAATACCAATATCCCTAAATGGTGACATTATACTATATGTCTATACCTTATTGTTCTTGTAAAAATAAACTTTAAGCTATATTACATTCATAATTTTACACTAAAATGCTCGAAGAATTAATCCTATAACACACATTGCATAGAACAGAGTGTGTGAGAGAAAAAAAACAGAAACATCTTTTATTGGACTCTAACAAATATAATACTGATGTGTTTCCTAAAAACAAAAATAAGAAAATGTACTAGTCAAAATTTAACAGCCATTCATAAAAAAATCCAGTCAATGAAAAGTAGAAAAGAGCATCATTCTACTAAGGTGAAAATCTACAGCTGCCATCAGACTTGACTGCTGAAGACTAAATGCTTTCGGTCTAGGGACAGAACATCTCCAGTCTCACGGCGTCTATTCGTTTTTGTGCAGACTCTAGACATTCAGATTAGATCAGATAAATGAGTAAAGACTGAAGAGAAAGATGTGACACTGTATCTGTAGAACACGATGACTGCACAAAAATACTAATATCTATGAAATATATAAAAGTCTAGCGAAGTGGCACTATACACAGCTAATATGCAAACATCTATGGAAACTGAAATGACTGGAAAAATTACAGCCATGATTTCTCCTTAATATAAACTGGTTAGCCATATGGAATAAGGCCAAACAAGTGAAAAGTCATTCTTTATATAACCAATTACACAATGTTAAATTTAAAGTAGTTTGTCAAGTTTCAATTATATTGATTTCTTTTTTTGTAGTGGGAGAAGTTTGACTTCACTGTTAAAATCCCTCACTGTGGGACTCCATGTATTTTATGAATAGCTAACACAAAGACTGACTACTTAAACACTGGGCATTTTTCATTCTATTTTTTCCTTCTTTTCCAACAGCACATAACATACCTTAGATAATCTTTTGGAAGTATCACAATTTGGCTCTGTACATGGCTTGGTTCCTTTATCAGTGTCTATAGATGAAACTGAGAAAATATATTATATTTTATATTTGTTCTGATACACTATACCAAAATACTTAAATTTTGAAAAATGAAATATCACTTGTCAACTACATCTCTTCCAATAAAAAAAGTCTGGATTTTTCTAATGCTAAGTTTCTCAGCAAAACCCTAAGCCAAATATTTGTTTTCTGTAAATCAGGAAAACCTCATTTCGACAATAATCTTAGGAATTAAGTTTCTCAGTAACTGATGCTGGGATATTTTGATTTTATAGTATTTAACAACAGAATTATTTTGACTTTTACAACATAAGTATTATAACTGTGTGCATATTCATTCATTCGCTATCAATCTCTATTCATATATATTGAGTATCACTACCCTAATTCAATGCCTAGTGTATAGGTAAAAACTAAAAAGGAAAGATAAACTGTAACAACAATACAGGATTGGACTATGGTTGTGACCATTTTAACCAATATAATCATGCTTATTCATATAGGCACATATTTATTTATGCACATATAGGAGCAACTATGTGCAAACTACAATTCTATTTATTTGAGATAAATAAGTGAGCATTAGGAAAACTCAATGACAAAGCAATATTGGACTGACAAGTATCTCTGCAAGGTCACTGAGGAAACTCCTGCTGTACTAAGACTTCAATCTCAAAGCTGGGGTAAGAAACAGGCATCACAAGGATTTCCAATAGATAATCCTTACAGAGTATAATGTCAATCTCATACCCAAATACCTTGGTTAATGCCCAGTACCAATAAAAAAAATATGAAAAAAACTCTTACTTGAGACCTCAAATCTATAACTAATTCAGAAACATAGTGTTTTAATATCTTAAGACTTTTACCTTATTTTTGCAAAAAAAAAAAGGACTTAGCTTTGTCATCTTTTACAGCTAAGAGAATACAATGAAAAATGTACTTCAGTTTTCTAATTAAAATTACTTATAAAACAGTCAATATTAATTTTTTATAATTTTCCACTAATGCTACTTACATCCTTTTAGCCATTCTATACTATTTTCTGGGCAAATCCTATGTCATTTGTACGCATAATCTTTTTTTTTTAATTTATTTTAATTTATTTTGCAATACAATTCAGTTCTACATATCAGCCACGGATTCCCTTGTTTTCCCCCCTCCCGTCCCCCTCACCTTCCCCCCAACCCCCCCCCCCCCATTCCCATCTCCTCCAGGGCAAAGCCTTCCCCACAGACTGAGGTCAACCTGGTAGACTCAGTCCAGGTAGGTCTAGTCCCCTCCTCCCAGGCCGAGCCAAACAATCCTGCATAGGCCCCAGGTTTCAAACAGCCAACTCATTGTACGCATAATCTTAATTGGCTCATTTCCCCCACAACCCTTCAAACAGAAATAATTTTCCATGGAGCTGTTGAATTGCCTACATATTTACTAACTCTAATGTTCCTGAGAAGTGGCAGGTTACCTGAAACAGCACAGACTCAGAGAATAATTTTTAATATGCTCAAAGAGCTGGAGGAAATAATGGGCAAATAATAAAAAAAAAACAGAACATGTTGCCAGGAAAAGAATATTAATAACATAAATAAAACATAAAATGGAATTATAGCTGAGAGAAATTCACTAGAAGTTTATAACAACATATTTGAGCAACCTGGAGAACCAATTAGAGAACTGAAAGGTAAGTCGTCACTGAAATCTGGTCAAAGGAAAAGGGAAGGAAGTGAACAAAAGGGAAAGGGCACAAAGGATCATGAGACAAGTCTACCAACGTACACGTAAGACAAGAGTGAAGGGAGGAGAGATGCAGCATTGGAATGGTTCAGTAAAGAATGACCAAACTGTCTCAAATCTAACACGACAGACATTTGCACACACAAGCAGATGGAGCCTACATGTATACTGTGAAATATGCTATAATCAAACATCAGAAACAAAAGAGAAAGAGATAATCCCAAAAGGATCAAGGACAGGTAATGTGTTGCACATAAGGGTTATACAATACTAAACAAGAACAGGATTTAGCACTTGATTTTTTAAGGCCAGAGTGTAAATTTTCCTTAGAGACCTATCTTAAACATAAGCATACACATAAAATATAAGGAAAAGATGGAGAAAAGTACACTGCTGCTAACAGGAACACAAAAGAAGCTGGAAGACAATGCTTCTTTTGTACAAAATAGAAATCAGAATAAAAAAAAGTATTATTCCTGATTTCAAGGAATAATACAGCCATTATGTAATGACAGTAGGATTGATCATTACAAGGATTTAAGAATCCCTGTTATCTATGTTTTAAACAGTTGGATAAAGTGAAGAGCCAAGTTCAGATCCCCAGAACTCAGAAGACAATAGCAAGAGCTGGGTGGTGATGTGCATCTGTACTCCAGAACTGATGTGCACAGAAAGGCAGATCCTGGCAAGTCAGACAAGGAGAGACAGCAAAGTTCAAGTGTAGGGAAAGAACTCATGTCAAAAAGTAGATTGTAGAGTGACAGAGGATGACACTCAAGGTCAACCTCTGGCCTCCACATGTACACATAAGGTAAAAACACACACACACACACACACACACACACACACACACACACACACACACACACACACACACACAATTTGAAGAAAAACTGTAAGAAAATAGCAAAATCTAATATTATCTCTCAATATTCCTCCATATCAGTAACTGAAAAACAAAGAAACCAGAATATAAAATAGACTACGGCTAACTCATAGAGCACCTTTCAATAACTAAACAAATGATACCTAGAGATATTTTCATATAGCAATGCAGAACACATGTTATTCTCAGACTCACATAAAACTTTCACAATGAACTCTCCCCATTTGAGTCATAAAAGGCAGCTTGAAATGTTAAAGACTAGAAATCATGTAGTTTATACATCTAGACCAAAAAAAAAAAATGTTAAGCTAGAAATCAGTACCAGGAAAACAGATTGAAAATCCTCAAATACTTGGGCATGGTGAAACATATTAATGCATAATATATGAAGTATCAAAAAAGTCAATACTTTTAAGTTAATAAAAGTAAAATAAACTTACCAAAATCTGTGACATGAAATGAAAAGTAAACAGAAGTTTATACTAAAAATGTAGGTTGTTTATACCATTGAGAACAAATATTAGGAAAGCCATGGGATAGCAAATGGCTCAGTAGGTAAAGGAAGCAATCTGAGATCTGAGTTTGTTCCCAGGAGCTGGATAGATGGAGAAGGAGAGTACCAACCCTCAAAGGGGTCCTCTGGCCTCCATGTGTGCACTGGAGAATATATGCCCACACACAAATATACTGACACACAATAATAACAATATATTTTTAGACAAAAGGAAGACGTAGATTGATTTCAATAGAAGCTTATATATAAGAAACTGGAAAAACTAAAAGAAAATTCAGTTAAAAGAAAAGAGAAGAAACAATATAACAAATTAGAGTAGATATCATTAAGATGGTGAGTAGTGGGCAGGAGAGATGGCTCAGCAGTGAAGAGCTACTGCTGCTCTTCTAGTAGACCTGAGGTTCAGTTGTATATAGCGGCACTAGGTCCACATATTCCAAGCTCTTCTAACAGACAACTTTGATGGGGAAAGAGCTCAGAGGGCCTTACCATTACCATTAATAATAACAGTCAACTATGATGGGGAAAGGGCTCAGAGGGCCTTACCATTACCATTAATAATAAACTCAAGGTTTATTAGTAACCACTGGATTCCAGCAGATGGAGAAGCATAGTTTCTAGCTGCTAGTAAGCATATCAAACTGGAAAGGATAGCTCTAACCTCAGATGACACAGATAGCCCTAGTTAAACTCTGTGAGTCACAAAACAACAATTAATGAATACAAGAAAGAAATCCATAGGAAAGAATAGGGGCTGGCATGGCTGAGAATGAAATAAGGGAGGGCTATGGGGAGAGTAACTGGTATATATTGCACATGTATATAAAAATGTTAAAGAAGAAAATTTATAAATAAAGTTTACCAATGCTTACAATATATCCCAAACAATAGATGTATTTGCTCCAGAATAAGATAATGCATTAGGGATTATTTACCTAATGATATCTCACAATGAAATATTTACCCTGATATGAAACTCAGATAAATACATTGCAAGAAAGAAAAACTCCAGACCAATAACTCTTGTGAACATAGATGCAAAAAAATCTCAACAATATGAAATCAAATCCAGCAATATATCAAAAGAACAATATGACATAATCAAGTAGGGTTTACACCAGCCTCCACAAGACAATGTAAAGAGAAACAATCATGAGACCATATCACTAAGGAAAAGGGAGAGCAAGAGAGCAGCATGAACCCAATGTCATTCTTGTTCAGCATTACTAACTCGTGACTAAGGCAAATTTCTTCAGCTAGATAAAGAACAGCTGCAACAAACTGCAGTCACCACCATGCTTAAGAGCGAGAAGCCAGATGGCTTCACATAGGAACAAGGCCAAAGGACTCCCTCTTACCATTCATCACAATTCTAGGACTATAGCTAGTGCAATAAAGATAACAAAAGATGGCAGACTGCATCCAGCAGAACCACTACAGTACCTGCAGTACAGCCCTGAATAGCTGGAGAACAACCATCCTACAGAGTGAGTGCTTGCAGAGAAGCATTCCTTCCAGTAGCAAAGAAAGAAAACAGAACGGCAGAGTCTGAGGTCAATTCCAGTGGCTTCAGCCCAATGACAGAGTGCTTTATTAACATTGAGAGTGCAACTGTGGTGTCCGAACAATGGCTATGGATAGAGCACTCAGAGAGGTTCACTATATTTTAAGGAACATATTACTTAAGGAAAGGTAGACTGGGGGTTTGGGAGATGGTGAGGAGGCAAGGCATGAAAGCTGCACTACCAAGGGAGGATTAGTACTGGGGAAATCCTGTTCTCACTATTCCACCAGATCAGTGACACAGTGCCAAAAAATGCATTCCTAAAGGGCCTTGTAGACTCAGTGGCTAAGCAGTTATATGGCCAAAGGGGCCACACTGCAAGGCTTATGCTGGCAACCCAGAGCAAACATGTCACAGGACTATAGTCTAAGGCTTGGCCTTCAGAATACTTCTAAACAGAGAAGTAAAACTTTGTGGTTTTGAGTTAGAATTTATGCAGTGTTCCATGAGGTGGATATTTGGTCTGAGACACAGACCAAAGTAGACAGTGTAGAGACAGATCTGGGACCTAATACTGTCCCTTTAAGAGACTGCATATAGCAGGACCAACAGCCATGGTCCACCTCCCCCCCCCCCCCCCCCCCCGCGCCATAGAGGACTACATGAGGGCAGGCTTTATACCTCAGCAACCCAGGTCCCCAACCCATGCCCACTGACAGCTTCACACTGGCAGGCCTGGCATACACACCTCAACCCTGTGAAAAGGCTTGGCATCCACACCACATCCCCATGAAATCACACAAAACTTGCCCTGTGCCCTACTCTAGCAAGAGACTGCACAGAATCAAGCCTAGCCTCCATGGTCAGGTACAAAACCACATACAGATGGCACCTCTACCCAGATTTTTTAAGTTTTCCCAAGAACACTGCCTCCCCCAGAGTTGACAGTATGCATGTTTCTGCCTCTTGAGCTCTGGGGTTGTTTTAGGTTGACAGATTGCATTTTTTCACCTGTCTCTCTTTTCATTTTCCTTTAACCGGAACTGCTAAATTTCCCTTCTTCCCTTTTACTGTTCCTTCCTTTTACTTACTTTCCTCTCTTCATCTACTGCTCTAGTACTAATCACTGGTCTTACTGGGTTTATTCCCTTTCCATCTCTACCCTTAGTAACTAATATACTAGTATACACTACTCCGCCCTTGCTCCTTACTCCTCTAACTCACTGCAGTTGAAGGGATGGTTGTATTTAATTCACCGTTGCTGTTTTGTAGCTGGCCTATCTAGCAGCTGTGGCTGCTTTCACAGACAGTATTCTATTTTTGGAGTGGTGCTAGAGATCAACCTAAATGCCCTGAACAGGAGCTGAGGGTTTAGCTGCTTTACTCTAAGACCGGTGGGGACAAATGATACTTCAGTTTATTACAGTTCAGTCCCCCCACCCCAAACACTGAAAATACTTGCAATGAAAGAATACATGTGATAAAAGAGGCAAAATCAGTCCCAAAATGAAATCCCACATGTACAAGTTCTAATGCAGAAACACAAAGATCATGAAAAACAAGGCAACATGACTCCTCCAAACACTTTTACTTCTATAGCAATAGACTAAGGTGAGAGAAATTGAGAAAGTGACCAAAGAATTCTTAAGAACTATTCTAAGAGTGTTAAAGGAAATCAAAAAGTCACCAGGAAAATGAATGAATTCACTGAGAATACAAACAGCTAAATGTAATAACTAAACTGATGCAGAATATAAATGAGGATTTCAATAAAGAAATAGAAACAGAGAAAAATGAAGTTGAAATTTTGGAAATTGAAAAGCTCAGTCGATAAAATTTAAAAAAAAATATAACACCTGGTCAATCGATAAACAGAAGTTAGAACTTCAGAGCTTGAAGACAGAGGTAAACAAGTAAGAATAATCGAACAATGACAACTATAAAATAATAAAGTATACCATAATATAAAAGATCTGTGGCTGATTTTCTTAATATGATGATGTCCACTCGCAACAATATTCCATAAAATGACATGATTTCATTCCTCTTTATTATTTTGTTAAACCCTCACATATCAAAGGCATAAAGTCAAATCCAGACCTCCCTATTTACAGAAATTAACTCAAAATGCATCTTAATGTCATCAGAAAAAAAATGAACTAAAAGGTGACAGCCCTTAATGACCTCAGATTTCTAAATGTAACATTAAAAGCACAAAAAGAAATAAAAAATCCCCACAATCTAAAAGGTAAAAAAGAATGAGTTAACAATTTCCCAAAAAGATAAATGAAGGACCACTGAACACACTTTAAAAAATACTCAGGTGGAGCTCCAGGAGTCCAATCACCGAGAGAGAGGAGGGATTGTATGAGCAAGAATTGTTGAGACCATGATTGGAAAAAGCACAGGGACAAACAGCCAAACTAGTGGGAACACATGAACTATGAACCAATAGCTGAGGAGCCCCCATGGAACTGGATCAGGCCCTCTGGATAAGTGAGACAGTAGATTAGTTTGAACTGTTTGGGAGGCCCCTAGGCAGTGGGATCAGGCTGGTCCTGTTCTTAGTGCATGAGCTGGCTTTTTGGAGCCTGGGGCCTATTTTGGGACACTTTGCTCAGCCTGGGTGAAGAGAGAAGGGGACTGGACCGGCCTCAACTGAATCTACCAGGCTGAGCTGAATCCCCAGGGGAGTCCTTACCCTGGAGGAGGTGGGAATGGGGGATGGATTGGGGGGAGGGCGGGGGCGGGGGGCAGGAGGAGGGAAGACAGGGGAATCCGTGGCTGATATGTAAAATTAGATTAATTATAAAATTTAAAAAAAGTTTATTGGAGGAAATAGCTTTTCAGCCAAGACATAAAGAAGAATACTAAGATTTGAAATTGCAAGGAGGATGAAGGAAATCTCAGGTGGAGGGATGTAGTAGGGTAAGCCCATAGGGTCAAGAAAACTGGCTCAAACAAGTTGCCAAGGCATGTACATAATGTACTTCCTTATGAATCAACCTGGAATCTGTCCAAGGGCCTAGCAACAGGAGCTGTCAGAGTTCCTGATTGTACCCAGCCAATGGGGGATGACCACGCAACACCACCAGATTGGGACACAACTTGGGTGCTGGGAAGAGGATATATAGGCCTTCCCTGTTATTGAATAAAGGAGTTTGCTGTTTGCCTTCAAAAAAAAATACTCAAAAGTATTAGTCATTTGAGGAAGCACAAAGCTGGATCCTAACTGCAATATTTACAGTGGATGTCATCTCTTCCCTATGATAAACTCAAATGTAAGCTTTCTAAGAGCTTGTCCATCCATTAAAACAACCAGGAAACAAAGATTCATGAAGCTTCTGTACACTAATAATGTGTCCTTGACAGGCTAGAGCAAAGCTTAGGCTCATCATCTGACTTGAAGTTGGTAAAAAACTGTTGAAATTTTCCTGAAGAAGAGAAAAGCAAGAATTACAGAAGACAAGAGTTTATCTTGATCTTGCCTCTCTACTGTCTCTACCAAAATTAAACTCTAGACAACAAATACAGGAGAAAGAGAGGGGAAAGAGGAGGAGAAGGACATCCTACGAACCGCATGGATGCGTATTCCTGAGACTATGTGCCTTCTGTCTCCAGAATTAATGATAACACATTCAACGGGATGAAGTGTCTGGTCTACAGTGTTAACCGCCTTACAAGCAGATGCGTGCAGTTCCACTAACTGACACTATAACTGAATACTACAGGTCCTTACTCAAACGTCCATTCAACAGTACAGTGTCACAGCACACTGCCCACTAACAGCATGAATCAGCAGGATTTTATTTAGAGGGTTATTAGCACTAAGTCAAACTCGAGGGGAAGAAATACATTTAGATTTGTAACATTCATATTCTAATAACAGTTGGTTGTGTTCCCAAATTGTCTTTCTTAAAGGTATTTTGTATATTTACCTGAAAATGTGAAGAATAATTCATTTTGCAAACCAGCTCTTTGCATTTTAATACGATGGCATTCAGACTTAAGCAAGGAAACTTCACAGGAAAGGTCAAGAACCAGTTTACTTAAAATCTGAAGAAGTTTCTTCTCAAAAGAAATGTTATAGATACTATTGCAGGGAGCTGCGTGGTATCGAGCTGTGAACTGGTAATAAAAATGAGGTTCACGATAAGCTACAAAGATTAAAAAGAAAAGACAAAAACATGATCATTCAAGCAATTCAAATGCATTGTTACTATTTTAAATAAATAACTATTTGGAACAAATTCATATTCATTCCCTATAAACAGCTACATTCGCCTTCCTTAACAAACACCTACCTCATAGTAACTGTATTAAATATTATCACAGGGACTCTAAGACAGTGATTCTTTTAAGATTCACATTATTATTATGGTATCTAGAACAAAGAAATCAAGACACAAGAATTTTGTCATGTGTACTGCCCATGCCACTAAAGCTAAGATTCAAACCTAGGAAGGCTGGTCTCAATACACGGCTGCTCAAATGCTGGCATCATTCCTTTGAAATTTTATATTTTAGAAGAAATCACACTGCTCTGTTTTAAAATATTAAATCTTAGAAGAAATTCCAGAGATATAATTAGCAACAATACTTCTCAAAATATCCTTCTGGTAATATACAGTTAGTTTTACTTAATTCCAGTACAATATCTGGAATTGAAGACACACATATTTAAAGCAGATCTCAAAATCTCACTGGAAAGACACAATAAATCTAAAAATGAAAATAAATCCCTAATAACTAAAACATTAAAAGGTCATCTTGTGAGACAAAAGTTCTTTTGCAGCTTCTGTCAATCATGGGCATCCTCCCAGACTGCTTCTGGATCACATTTTGAGCAACAGCTCCCTATTCATACAGATGTCCCTTACCACTGTCCATTTTCCTACCTGTACTTAAGTTAAACACACTTACTGTTGTCAGACGTAGTACAGAGATTGACAGGAACCTACTAGCTTCATGAACACAAGGGAAAGCTGAAGACTATCAACACCCTAACTTCAAGAAAATACAAATCAGAACTTTTAATTTTTTAGAAAGACATAAAAGAAAACCGCTGTAGGAGGTATTAAAATAAATTTAAAATCTAATACAATGATTAAAATATAATTCATAAAACATGATGAGCTTTAAGGCAAATGGTTGGAAAATAAGGAAAGTAACAGACAGGCACAATGGTACATACCTGTACTTCCAGCATTCATGAGACCGAAGCAGGAGGAATGCACAAATGGGTTGGAAATTAAATTAGAGTAGATGCAAGTATTTAGAAATGATAGATAAGCGTATAAACAGCGAAGGATACAATCAAAATAATAACAGCAAACATTTATCTTTAACTATAATTACCAAGATAATTTTTTTTAAAAAATGAACTACTAAGCCAAACAGTTTAAAAAAACACTACTACAGTTAGCACAGGAAAGGAGGAACCAAGAAGAAGCAGATGAGAAATAGAAATGCATTACTAAAATACGGAAAACAGCTCATTTAGGTGAGAAGATAGAAAAGCAATAAACCCATTACAAAACATCAAGATAACAGAAAGCCAAGTCCCATCCAGTTTTCCCTCTTGACTAGGAAACTGAAGCTATTAATACTTAAAGTTATTACTGAAAGGCGTCTGTTGATTGTTGTCATTTGCTGCTCTTTTGCTGTTTATGCCCTTATTCTTACTTTGTATTTTGGTAATAATGCCTTCATTTGTTTTCTTTCTGTAGCCTTTCAGAAAGAAAGGCAGAGGAGGCAGAGAAGATGATACAGAGAGAGGGGGAGGAAGGAGAGATAAACAACACTAAGGATTTTTGATAAGCCATGATAAAACATACTAGTTTATAAATTATATATATACAGACATACATACTCATGCACACATACAACTCTGTGAGTGCGTGTGAGTGTGTGTGTGTGTGTGTGTGTATGTGTGTGTGTGTGTGTGTGTGTGTGTGTGTGTGTGTGTAATAATACTAACTATAGACAAAGGGGTCATGAATTCTAGAGAATGAGAAGTATATGAGAGGAGTTGAGGGAGGAGAAGGAGGAATAGCAACAGTGTAAATGTACTACTTATTTATAAATTAAGTACTGTCAAAAGTTAATTTTTAAAAAGAACATACGAATTTTCAAATACAGGAAAAAGTCTGTAGCTCCATCTTCTTTTCAGCAGCATGCAGGGAGATTTGTGAGAGATTAGAAAGGGCACAAGTTTTGTGATCCAAAAGAAGTTAAGGTGTCTTTGAAATGTGAGCACCAGAAAGAAACTGGGGAAGGGGGGACATGATCGAGCAGGAAAAAGGCAGCTGGAGACACAGTCATGCTACAGTGGAAAGAGGCTTATGTGAAATTTTAGGACTTCTGCACAGCAAAAGAAACAAAGTGGAACTACTTCAGACACAGGGTTAATATACAGAATACCAAAGAAACGCAAAAAAAAAAAAAATCAAACTGTAAAACAAACTGTCAATCAGTAAGTGTGCTAATGAACTTAATAGAGAGTTCTCAAAAGAAAATATAAATGACAAAAAAATATTTTTAAGAGTTCAACACCTGTAGCCATTACAAAAAGGCAAATTAAAATTACTTTGAGATTCTATCTCATCCCAGTTTGAATGGCCTTCATTAAGGAAAAAAAATCACAACAAATGCTGGTGAAGATATGGGTAAGATGATCTCTATTCCCTGTTGCTGCTGGGAGTGTAGAGTGATGCAGCCACTATGGAAAGCTATATGGAGGAGCCTCAAAAAACTAAAAAGAACTATAACAACCCAGCTACTCTTGGGTATCTAAGCAAAGAACACACCACAGAGATGCTTGCATAGCTGTATTTATTGCTATATTAATGTAATAGCTAGGAAACAAACAGAAACAGAAACAGACTGGGTGTCCATCAACAGTTAAATGGATAAAGGAAATATAACACACAATGGAACTTTATTTAGTTATGAAAAATGCAATTATGAAATTTAAGGAAAATAGATATACCCCGAAATTATTTAACAAGGTCACCCAGACTCAGAAAGGCAAGTACCACTTTCTTTCTCATGTTCATAGCCTATATTGTAATTTTTGTACACATATATATGTATATGTACAGGGTAGTTACAGTTCATGAAGCTAAAAAGGGGATCATATGGAAAACATGGAGGGCTTAAAGGATAGAGGAAGAAAAAAAGAAGGGCAATCAGAAATACATGACATGAAGATGGGAGGTAAAAAAAGGGAATGGTGGAAGAGAATGGAAAAAAATAAAGCACACCTGTAAGTGACAAATGCAGCCCTCTCCTGTATATAATTTCAAAGAAAAAAGAAGTAAAATAAGTGCATACAATACTACTATGAGAATTTGGTGGTTTCAGTTGTTAGGCAATAAGAGAAATATAAGCTAAATAGTTAACAACTTTTTTTTTTTTTTTTTTTTTTTGGTTTTTCGAGACAGGGTTTCTCTGTGTAGCTTTGCGCCTTTCCTGGAACTCGCTTTGGAGACCAGGCTGGCCTCGAACTCACAGAGATCCGCCTGGCTCTGCCTCCCGAGTGCTGGGATTAAAGGCGTGCGCCACCACCGCCCAGCTAACAACTTTTTATTTAAAAACGATATATAACACTGTAAGCCAGAGTTGGACAGTGCTTAGGTGGGGACCATTTCCAAGAGAAACAAGACATAAGCATTCCTCACTCTAGTCCTAGTTGCCAGCTGTACTACACAAATGTATGCTCCCTTGGTGTTTAAAAAGTTTACATAAAAGCACAACATTCCTGGTACATACTATGTATATGGTGAATTTTCCCTGTCATTATAATTTTTACAAACCACTTCTCAGGCATAAATATCTTTACTAGCTTATGAAAACATGCTCTTGCAGCAAATGGTGAAGTGTATGTGTGATAAGATACAGGAAACAACAATATGGAGATAAAATATGACCACTTAAAAATCTAAAATATGACTTGCCTAACTAAAATCATGTCATTTATCATAACAATGTCTCCCTCTCAGAAATACAGAGTAGCATTTTTGAGTAAGCAAAATGTTGTCAGGAAACCATTAATAAATGGCATGTTGGCTCTAAAAACAATAGCATGTATATTTCCTATTGCTACTATAACACACACATTAGTTTAGAGATAACATGTTTATTGTCTTTCAGTTCTGAAGAACACAAATATGAAAGTCTTGGTAGACTAAAATCATATGTAAGGAGACCACTTATTGAGCACTACATGACTGGAAGATGCTTAGATTGGGCACATGGAACTCCTGTCTCCAATGTAAAAGACAGTCACTTGACCCCTTCCTTGTTACCACATCTCCCTTTTCTGACTTTGTCCTTATACTTCTTTCTATATAACCTTATAGTCAGGCATGGTAGCACACACAGAATCCCAGCACTAAGGATGGAGAGTTGCTCTGAGTTCTGCCCAGCAAGGGCTGGAGTGAGTTGTGTCTCAAAACAAACCCCTTATGATTACACTAGGCTCACTCACTCAGTTCAGCACTATGACCTTTACACTCCATCATCAACTTGCCTAAATTTGGAATAACACAGGAGATACACCTCTGGGATGTCTGTGAGGATGTTTCCAGAAGACTTTAACTGAGAACTAAGATCCACCCCAAATGGTGACATCATCTCATGCACTGGGATCCCAGACTAGATAAGAAATGGGAACAAAGATATAATATAAAAGAAAAGAATGAGCACAGTATTAATCTCACTGCTCTGTAAGTCATATTTCCTGCACCATGCCTTCTTGCTGTGATGGTCTAAAGGCCTTTTAAACTAGTATTGAAAATATTCCCTCCTTCCTGAATGGTTCTTGTCAGGTGTTCCTCCTAAGAGCAAGAAAAATGACTAATATAAGATAGTCCCTCCATGGTAAGAGCCTTAATTTAATTAATTACAGGGTCAAGTCCCTTTCATCATGTATGCTTATACTCACATGCTCTGAAGATAACATGAAGACCTCTTTCCCTGCCATTTTTCAGTCTACTATACAGGGTCCCAGCAGTTTGATTAAACTTGTAAGTAACTGTAGTTTATATTATTATTTCTCTTATTTCACATCAAATCAGCCCTCTCAATTTTATTCCTCAGTAGAATATTCTAAGATGAGAGATTTATAGTATGCTTCCTGCTCCTAATAAAGAGATGAGGTAAACCATCAACCATGACACACAGAATTGAAAAGCAATTCAAACTACGATCATTATTATCACTGTGATTTGAAAACATGGCTCTGTACGGGGCTTTAACTGGCTGACTAAAATGACTAAAAGGCTGCTTTGGTGACCAGTCTGTCCCCTTGCTGTTAAGACATACACCACAACTTGGTTGAGTAGGAATTATTTTAATTAGAATACTAAAAACAGTAAAGTTCTTTTTTTCAATCTTGTTAAAAACATAAGCTTTAAAACAATGTCTTTTAAAAAAACTACCCTCTTAAATTCCTAATAGCAGAAATTAGAAACATCTAGATGTACCTCAACAGAAGAATAGATAAAGAAAATATGGTATATTAACATAATGGAATATTAGCCATTAAAAACGACATCATGAAATTTGCAGGCTAATGGATGGAACTAGAAAGAAAACAAACTAAGTGAGATATCCCAGACCCAGAAAGAGAAATATGGTGTGTATTCACTTATAAGTAGATAGTAGCTGTTAAGGCAATGATACCCAAGCTACAATCCACAGAACCACAGCAGGTAGAATAAGGGACTAGTGGGAACAGGTTGGTCTTGTTAGGAAAGGAAAATGGGATAGAGATGGATGGAAATAGTGTTGGAATGAGATCAAGTGAGAAGGTGGAGAGGATGGGGCTGCCAGAGGGACTACGGGGAGAGACAGCTAACGTTAGGGGCTATTTGAGGGGTAGTATGGAAACCTAACACAGTATAAACTTCCTGAAATATACACATATATGAAAGTGATTTAAATGAAATCACCAAATTTCGGGGAGACAGCGTCACAACTGGCTATCTCTTGTCATGAAATGAAGCTTCCAGTACCAAGACTGGATTACATCTGATTGAGTTGTTCGCTGAAGGGGCCCCCATAGGACTCCCAGTACAACCCAGATTATTTCCAAAACTGTAAGCTGCTCTCCACAAACTGACAGCAAGGCTCCATGCTGAAGATAACACCTACACAACTCTTTGAACATGGTGATTTCAAGCCAGTGACTATATATAGCCTTCATCCCTACATTACAGCATCTTTGGTACAGGAAAGTACTCTGCATGCCCTCAAAAGAGAAAATTAAACACTAAGCAAGCCACAAACCCTTTATCTACAATGGCATACTACCTGCAAAATATGCTGGGGCAATGGTGGCACAAAGCTTGTGGAAGTAACTAACCAATAACTGATTTGACTTAAGGCCCACTCCAGAAGATGAAAACAACATCCACCCAACATTGTTTGTGTGACCAAGAATCTGAGACTAGACAGGACTCAAGAACCTAGAGTAAAACCGAATAATACTGAGAGAGAGAGAGAGAGAGAGAGAGAGAGAGAGAGAGAGAGAGAGAGAGAGAGAGAGAGAGAGAGAGAGAGAACGAGAACAAAATGACTCGTAATGATATTCTGCTGCACTCACTGTTCAGCCATCATCAGAGACACTTTCTCCTGCAGCAGTTGGGAACAAATATAGAGATCCATAGAAAAACATTACCCAGAGAGTGTAATGGAACACTTAGCCTGAAATGGGATGTCTCCATCAAATCCCTCCCCTCGGGGCTTAGGGAACCCTGAGGAAGAAGAGTCAGAAGGATTGTAAGAACCAGGGGTTATGGAAGACACCAAGAAAACAAAGCCCTCTAAACCAATGTGAGCAAAGCCCATAGGAACTCACAAAGACTGAAGCAGCATGCACAAGGCCTGCACAGATCTGCACCAGGTCCTTGGTGCTTATATTACGGCTTCCAGTTTAGTATTTTTATGGGATTCCTGAGTGTGCGAACGACTGGGTCTCTGATTCTTGTGCCTTCTCTTGGGCTCTTTTCCTTCTGTTGGTTTGTCTTGTCCAACTTTGATATGATAGTTTTTGTTTTATCATATGTTTTGTTATATTTTTAAGTTAATTAATAAAAAAGAAAGAAGGGAGGGAGAGAAGGAAGGGAGGAAACCTAGCCACTAGGGTAAAGGATAACAACTGAACTATCATTTATACCTGGTGGGAGAAGGAAAATGAGTCATCTCCAATGGAGTAACACTAGGTATATCAACCACTCCAGGGCAAGCCTCATGTCCAGAAATAGTTGACGTATAATTAATGGACTCCATAGGTTCGTGTGCTTTTATTTGGCTACAGTTATCAGGGTTTTGGTTTGTTTTTTTTGTTTGTTTGTTTGGGGGTGGTGCTTTATTTTGTTTTCTTTGTTTGAGGGGTTCTGTTGTTGTATTGGTTATTTTGTTTTTTGAGAAAGAACTTAAGGTAGAGTGAGTAGGACGGGGGAGAGGATCTGGAAGAAGTTGGGGGAGGAGAAGAATATGATCAAAATATATTTAAATTTAAGAAATGTTTTAAATAATAAAAATATATAAAATAACAAGTCTGTTAAAATATTTAAGTATTTTAAAACATTAAGATATGTTAAAACATAATTAAATTTGCTTCTTACCATAAATAACATACTTCAGTTGAAGATTTTTAACAACTTCTTCCACAGTCGGTTTGTACTCCAGGAAACACGTATAAACCCCACTCATGGTCTCCTCAAAGTTCTGAAATATGAGGCTTCCTGTGGATGTCACTTGTGCAGTGCTGTTTTCTAATAAAGGTATAATATACAGCAACTTAAATCACAACAGGGAGACAAAATACCAAACACTTAAAGCAATCTAAAAACACTCAAAATTTATGTCCACAAAAAGGAGTTACACAAAGTTAGTCAATATATTTGATGTTTATTATCAGCGGATGCTAGGATGACTTAAAATCAAATTTCCACCAACCAGAGTTCGCCAATTGTGGGATGTCCAAGTCAGTGGTTCCCAACCTGTTGGCTGCAATCCCTTTGGGGGATCAAATGACCCTTTCATGGGGTCACATATCAGATATACTGCATATCAGATATTTACAGTGGGGGGGTTCGCCAATATGAGGAACTGTATTAAAGAGTCATAGCATTAAGAAGGTTAAGGACCACTGGTCTAAGTAGTAAGAGACTAAGAATGACATATGGACATAAAGCACTCCTAGTATTCTCCTTACATTGAAAGAGATGCTATCATGTCGTGGAATATTACTTTCACTAGGCAAAGATGTGTTACATTTGTTTTATGCTGCAGAATACTACTTTAACTGTGTAAAGATGTGTTACTTTTGTTTATGCTGCCTCTGTTTAATTATGTAAAGATGTGTCACACTTGTTTCACCTTGCCTGCCTAAGGTACCTGATTGGTCTAAGAAAAAGCTGAACAGCCAATAGCTAGGCAGGAGAGGGATAGGTGGAGCTATAACAGGCAAAGAGAATTAGCAGGAGAAGAAATCTAGGCTCCAAAAGAAAGCAAGAAAAGAAGGAGGAGGAGAGAATGAGGAGAAAGAGAGGGACAGGCCTAGGCAAGAAGCTAGGCAGCTGCCAGCCAGACAAGAGAAGCAGAGAAAGTAAGACATACAGAAATAAAAGTAAAAAGCCCTCAGGCAAAAGGTAGATAAAGAGAGACAGGTTAATTTAAGTTAAAAGAGCTAGCCAGAAATGAGCCTAAGCTAGGCCAAGCATTCATAACTAATAAGTCTCTGTGTCATGATTTGGGAGTTGGTTGATTGCCCCAAAGAAAAAGCCTAGCACTATCAGAAATATAGTACTATTCTATGAAAGTTTATACACAGATATATGCAGTGCATTTATGCATATATAGTACAAACAACATGTATATACAAAATATATATTTTATATATTTATTTAACTATACCATAAATAAGATTTACATAGTTTAAGGATGAGTTATAGAATCTTCCAATTTGCACATGAAATTGTGTACCCAAAACAAAGTCTATTACAGTATAGCCATTAACATCTAGGATTTCTTATCACTACACAGAATGGTACACAAAACAATGAATTGTTTCAAACACTGAGGGTTACAGAAGTAGATAAATGGAAAATTAGATTATCAGACTTGTCAATCAATCATAGTGTTGCTGTGTTAGGAAAAAGAATGGGATGTAAGCTCCCTCTTTGCTTCAGCATAAGTATTATATTGGAAGAAAACTATGCTGTCAAATGGAGAGTAAACCTATTCTTGAGATATTAAGATATAGATGTGAAGGCTCTATTCTCTCTCACAAATTGTACAACCATGGGTAGCCACTTCATCTTCTGAAGTCCAGTTTATTTGTGAAGAATGACAAGATATAGCTGCCTAACTCACAGGGTTGTTCAATTCAGCAAATATAATAAATCATTAAACAGACAGGTTGTTATTCTGAAAGTTCATAACTACAGTTTTGTGTCATAAAACTTTCAGATACTAACATTTTCTTAATTAAGAACTGAATACTCCATTCATTAGAATTGAAAGTATTATCTCAGGAAATGACTGCATATCTTTTTTCCATTTTAAGTAAATGATTTAATAATTATATATTTTTAAACACTAAAGCAAAATGCCAGAATGCTCTTAGCACTGACATTTTTATTATATGAAAATCCCTGCTGCATATTTTGAAGGAGAAATGAATAGACAGATATACCCACCCTCAAGGACTTTACATAGAGAATTATGCCTTGAGATCTCCATTTATATATCCTGGATGAAGCTGAAAATGTAATATAAAAGAATATATTTGTTTTAATGCCTACTTGTTCATGAATATCTTCTGAAGAAAGATTACATATTTATCTTAACATGCTCTTCTTAAAGATATCAATAATTTAAGTGGTTCGTATATATTTCAGAAAACATAGTATTATAATAATTTTTAAAAAATTTAAATAACACATCATCAATGAAGTTACGTATTCCTTAGTAATAATTCAAAATGAAATTTTCCTATACCAGAAGTGTCAATAAATATATAAATATACTTATGTATATATGCACTGTATTTGGTACAGATGATATAAGAAAGGATAAGAACTCACGTTACAACAGCTATTTAGTAAACAACTTTTGTTTTACATCCTATTCTGTAAAGAAAATCTGTTAATGAGTAAATTCTAATAGCCTTCCTTCTGGGCACATTTCATATGCAGAATATAAGCTTACTGAAAATATAACTCAATATTAAATATAAATATTATTTTATGGTAAATAAGTATATACACAAAAACACATTTTGTATATACATATATATGTTGTGTATAATATATGTGTATGCACATTGCATGTATGTGTGTATATTCACATATATATGTGTGCTATATTTTATAGCATCTCTTTCAATGCCAGGAGTATAAAGACAGCAAGGCTAAACAGGAAAGCCAGAAAATGAAACAGCATACAATCTATAACAGAGTGCCCTCTGGTTACTTTTAAGTTTTGAAGAGTTAAGAAACATTTTGAAAACATAGGCAGAGAATTTCATACTCAATATAAATATCAACCCTATAATATCAGTGATCATTCACAGATCCTTAAGCGATTAAGTTTAAGTGGAAATTCACAAAGTCAATAGCTATGTATTTCACACAGAAAATATAGGGTTAAATATAAGAAATCACACAACACAGATACTTATTAATTAATCATTTCATTTAAATTGGTCCTTATACCTTCCTAGCTTTGTTATCCAAATACCCATAGTTTGACCACAACTGTAGAAGGCCATGCATTAGAGCTGTTAAAATTATAAAATAAAATTTCACTGAAACTTAGTTTATTATTTTAAATATGTTTATACTTATGAGTTGGCTTAGATATGGACGAGAAAATATAAGGGGGAAATTTAGTACTATTATTCTGCTAAATGAACATAGCAATAAAATTGCTCCTAAGGACATATTGCTATACCCATAGATCAGTGCATATCTCAACCTTCATCAAAAACGACCCTTCTTGCAGTAGATGGTAATTAACACGGAGACCTTCAATTGGACAATATGCAGAGTCAGAGAGTTTGGAGCACTCAGCGCTAAATGGGTTGTCTCTATCAAACCCCCACCTTAAGGCTCAGGTTCCTACGTGGAAGATAACGGGAAAATACTGTAAGAGTCAGAGGTGGTGGATGGCTCCAAGGAAACAGTGTCTTCCAGACACAACAAGGAAGAAACACATATGAATTCAGAGACTATGATAGCATGCACAAGACCTGACCAAGTTCAAGCCAGACAAACTCTCAGTGCAGAGAAGGGGAAGAGGGCACAAAGTTCCACCCCTTACCAAGAAACTACTTGCAATTGATACCTGCTACGAGATGCAAAATCAGTTTTCTCCAAAGGAGTGACACTGGACATATCAATCACACTCCAGGGTAGACCCCATGCTCACGAGTAGCTGGCCAACACAAAACAGAATCCATGCTTTTGTGTACCTTTTTTGTTTTGTATTTGTTATTTTTTTGTCTTTTCATTTTTTCTAAAAATTGGTAAAAGAAGATCTTAAGTGTTCTCACTAGGAAAAAACAGTAATCATATGAAATGTCTAAGTAATAGTTGGATTGTGGTCATTATATACCTGTATAAATGCCAAGCTTTACACCTTAAATACATACAACTTCTATTTACAAAATATGTCTGCAGAAAGCTGGAGGGGAAAGGAATATGTGAAAAAATTCACAACAGCAAAGCTAAAATGTAACTTTCAGAATGTATACATATGTATGTGTATATGAGTAGGTATATGGCAAATTCATAAAGGAACACAAGGGAACAGAACTAAATTTTCAGGATAGTATTTACTGGAGGGGCTTGAGGACAAGTTGCTAAGAAGTTTTAAAATAGCTTACTTAAAGGTCCCAGTGTCTTGGTAATAGTGTATCTTAGCTGTAGAGACAGCTTAAGAATGTTAGTCTTATGATGCTTCAAAATGAGCAAATATCTTTTCAGGAGACATTCCATCATAAAAACATTATGATGCAGTAAAATATATGATTTCTTTGCATATGTACATGTGTAAATGCATGAGCTTGTGAAAGCCACAGGTTGATACTGGCATCCTCCTCTGTAGCTCTGTACCTTATTTTTTCTTTATTAAATTTATACTTTGATGGTTTCATACAAGTATATGGTGTCTTCTGATTGCTTTCACCCTCTACCATCTCTTAACTTTCTCCTACCTCCTCCTAAGTCACCTCTCTAAAAGAACTTTTCTCACATTTAAATCTTTTGTTTTGTGACTTACTGAATTTAACCTGTTTGGTGAGTATATATGGCTGCAGAACTAACCAATGGGTCAGTGTTTTCACAACTGAAGACAGTGACTTCCTGACCAGAGGACCTATCCACCTTAATTTCATTTGTTTGCATTTATTATTATTTGTATGAATGTTTCCACCCATGTGCAAGCACAGACCATGACACAAATGTGGACGGCACAGGACAACCTGCAGGAGGTGACTCTCTCTTGCCACTATATGGAACCTGAGAAATAAACACAGTCCACTGAACTTGGCAAGTGTATTAACCTAGTAATACAGCATACAGCTTGCTAGCCCTCACCTTACTTTTTGAGACAAGGTCTTTTACTGAATGTGGAGCTCATCATGTTGGCTAGGCTGGCTAGACAGTGAACCCTGGATCAACCTGACCCTGCATCTCTGCAGTGCTGAAGTTATAGGTGAATGCCACCACTCCTTGTTTTTAATTGGGTGCTAGAGATATGAACTCAGATCCTCATGCTTAGTCCACAAGTGATTCAAACTCTGAGAAAATGATACCTTATCAATAAGCTTTAAAACTAACAGATGACATGATATTGTCAAAAAATTAAATAAATCAAGTATGAATTCAGAATAGAATTCATCCTAGGAAGTGAGTGTGTGTGTGTGTGTGTGTGTGTGTGTGTGTGTGTGTAAAAATGCAGTACTGATTTCATTTGATTTTTACCTGGAAAATTGTACTTCTGAATACCTATTTTTTATTATGAAAAGAAAAATAGGAGGCTTCCGAACTTAAAGGAGTAACTGAACTATATACTACACTGCAATATAAACTACAAAACCTGGTAAGCCATCTTAAAGAAGAAATGCTCCAGATTTCCACCTCCAAATCAAAAATACAAAACCTACAACAGGAAAACTCAATGCTTGGGTGTTTATTTTTCAAATGACAAAGCTTCAGAATCAGTGCAGAACATAAAGTGTTTGTATTATAGCATATGCTACTAGAGAACAATAAAAACGGATTTGATTATAATTCCAATATGAGATGTCTTTACATGAGAATTATCATGTAAGCTGCCCAGCCCCATAGGATTTTTTTATGAGCCTTCTGTAGACATGATCATGCAGCACAGCTGTTCCTATGTCACTAAAGTGAGGTATATATTACATGAGATCTTTGGCAAGTCTTTGTGTAAACACACTTCCCTCAGTCCAAATAAAACAGCAAGTCTGTAGCCTTTAATCCTCAGTACCGTCTCAAAATACCAGTGAGGTCTTATAAAAGAAACAAAAGGAAAGGTGATAAAGTTCCTTTGAGGATATGCAAAAATGATTGGGTCCTCCATTGAATAGACCTTTAGTATGAACATTCACTAGTTTTCATTGGTAGAAAAAAAAAACAAATTCAAACCAGCTAAACTTTACAAGCTTGAAAGTAAACTGTAAATTAAGTCAGTTATCAAGTGCAAGATTTAGAGCAAAGATAAAATAGACAGTCCACAATAAAATAGGTACATAGGCAAAAGATAGTAATGAAATCACAAACAAACTGGTTTCCACATAAAATGATAACTTTTGAAACAGAGATGCTTCTAGAACTCTTGAAACAGTTGAATTTTTTACTGCCTTTATCCTTAATAAAGACAATAGGAAATGTTCATGCTATCAACATTGCTATATCAACTCGACAAGACTACAAAGAAAATATTTGAATAAGTGGTAAATGTATTAGATACAAATATTCTTTTAAGTATAAATAAATCTGAGATATGTCTATTTAATTATGATAACTAAAATAAAATCCTACCTGAAACAATTTTTCCTTTTGGCCCATGCCATTGGAATGATGGGTCTACCAGTTCAGTGTTTCTCAGCTGTTGGGTTACACATAGCACATGCGGACTCTTTTGATGGAGCATGACATATACACTCACTGAAAATACAATATTAAAATGTTCCAATAATATTTTATGCTCTTTATTTATCTAATAATACCTATTGCTATTACTTAATGATAATTTAATATCACTGTCTCCATGTAATTACATTAAGAAGTATACAGTTTATTTGACTATGTGTGTACATTTAGTAACACATGTGTGAGGGTGTGTCCTAAACATGAATGTAATGTATTGGTCCTTTGTTTCAGAGCTCACATACACTGACCCAGTTTGCTCTCAGAGTATATAACTATAGTGACAGTATTAAGATAATTCTCTAGCTGGACTTCCTATGTTCTGCAAAGACATCAAACATGAACATGGTGCATATATACATTTAGATGAGAGGAACAATATATTATTTACAATCATATAGCATAGAATATTGGATACAAATAATATTGTGACCATAAAGTTGATAAGTATATACAATGGTTGATTTTTAAACATGCATTTGTCAGACTCTGCTTAAAATAATCACGATAAACAAAACAAAGATGGTTTAGGAGATTCAGAAGGAGCACAGTCAAAGATTCAGTTGTTCTGAATGTTCTCAGAACTAAGCTTTCAAGAACTAAGCTTTACCAATAACCCATCAGCAACTGCTTGCCAACGCTTCTCTGATTCACCAAAGACAAGATTTGTTGTGAATGAGTAAAATAAAAATTACTTTTGGTAAACAAAATTCTTAACATTAAAAAGTCTTTATAATTTACAACAAAACATGTTTGAGATATTCATAGCCTTACACTGGTTATGAAAGCTTGTCTCTACATTTGGTTGTTTTTATCATGAGTTTTCTATCATGAGATAGAAAAATAATTTTTTCTACCCCACGATAATGTTTTTCTTCTTCTTCAATATTTTGTTTAAATGGTTGATGTTCATCTATCAATATGCTGTCTTCCTATTGTAAGTCTGATTGATTGTGTATTTACTTAATAATTATTGGATCCAATTTGCAAACATTTTCTTAGGATCCGAACCACTATGTTTATAAATATAACCATGGGCTCCCATCTGGCCCAGAGCTCCCATCCAGACCAGAGGTGAGTGTCTGGTGTCACACCCAGGGAGGCCCGCCCCTACGTCCCATCCCTGGGCACCAGCCATTCTGGGGAAGACCTGCCCAACTTGGCCTCAGTTGCCAGCCAGTGGGCAGGGCTTCCGCGGGAGGGTTCCCCTTCTCCAAGACCCCCCAGCAGACCCTGCAATCTACATGCCCTGCCCCCACACCCATCCGCCCAAGACCCTTGCCGCTTCCTGAGACTTACAGACCAGCACCCCCCCCCCAATCCCATCTGGCCCAGAGAGCTCTCATCAGGCCCAGAGGGCTCCCATCTTGCCTAGAGAGCTCCCACCCATCCCAAAGAAAGAGAGAGCTCTCATTGGACAAAGAGCCCTCATTGGACCCAGAGTAAACTCAGGAGACAGGGAATCTGCCAGCCCTGATTAGAACAAGAGTGGCTTTCTGAGAAGTAGAATCCGCAATCTCTCATTGGACCAAGAGGGGCTTCCTCAAACTCCGAATCTGTCAGCTCTGACTGGACCAAGAGCCCTGATAAGACCAAGAACGAATCCATGAAGAGATGGGCAGATGTCAAGGCAGAAGTACATACAACAACATAAAGAACAATACAGCATCACCAGAACCTAGCCCTCCTCCAACAAGCAAGACCTGAACATCACAAAGTGGAAGAAGCAGAAGAAAGCAACCTTAAGAATAACATCATGAATATGCTAGAGGCTTTTAAAGAAAAAAATCAAAAATGAAATTGAGGAAAAGATAAACAAAAAAGTGGAGGAAATCAATAAAGAAAATAAAAAGTCAAACAAAAAAATGGGGAGAACTCTATAAAAAATAAACTAGAGGAAAAGACAAATAAAGCAGAAGAAAACAATAAATCCCTTAAAGAAAACTATGAAAAAGCAATGAAACAGGTGAGGGAAACAGTCTAAGACCTGAAAAGAGAAATAGAAACAATGAAGAAGACACAAACAGAGGGAATGCTGGAAATAGAAAATCTGAGTAAATGAACAGGAAACACAGATGCAAGCATAACCAACAGAATACAAGAGATGGAAGAGAGGATCTCTGGTGTAGAGGATACAATAGAGGAAATGGATTCGTCAGTCAAAGAAAATACCAATGCCAAAAAAATTATAACACAAAATGTCCAAGAAAATCTGGGACACAATAAAAGACCAAACCTACGAATAACAGGGATAGAGGAAGGAGAAGAATACCAACTCAAAGGCACAGAAAATATATTCAACAAGATCATAGAAGAAAACTTTCCCAACTTAAAGAAGGAAATGCCTATGAAGATACAAGAAGCCTATAGAACACTAAACAGACTAGACCCCCCAAAAAAGTCCCCTCGCCACATAATAATTAAACAACTAAACGTACAGAATAAAGAAAGACTATTAAGAGCAGCAAAGGAAAAAGGCCAAGTGATTTATAAAGGCAAACCCATCAGAATAACACCCGATTTCTCAATGGAGACTTTGAAAGCCAGAAGGACCTGGACAGATGTAATGCAGACACTAAGAGACCATATGGATGCCAGCCTAGAGTAATATACCCAGAAAAACTTTCAATCATCATAGACAGAGTGAACAAGATATTCCAAGACAAAGCCAGATTTAAACAGTACTTATCCACAAACCCAGCCTTACAGAAAGCACTAGAAGGAAAATTCCAACCTAAGGAAGTCAGATACACCCACGAAAACACAGGTAATACGTAACACCACAGCAGTAAACCCCCAAAGAAAAGAAGTACACACACACTACCACCAAAAAATAACAGGAATGAACAATCGCTGGTCATTAATATCCCTTAATATCAATGGACTTAATTCACCTATAAAAAGACACAGGCTAACAGAATGGATATGAAAGCAGGACCAATCTTTCTGCTGCATACAAGAAACACACCTCAAATTCAAAGATAGACACTACCTAAGAATAAAAGGCTGGGAAAAGTCTTTCCAAACAAATGATCTTAAGAAGCAAGCAGTGCAGCTATCCTAATATCCAGCAAAATAGACTTCAAACTAAAATCAATCAAAAGAGATCAAGAAGGGCATTACAAATTCTTCACAGGAAAGATCCACCAAGATGAAGTTTCAATTCTGAACATTTATGCCCCAAACACAAGGGCACCCACATATGTAAAAGAAACATTACTAAAGCTTAAATCACATATAAAACCCCACACATTAATAGTGGGAGACTTCAACACCCCACTCTCACCACTGGACAGATCTACCAAATTGAAACTTAACAGAGAAATAAAGGACTTAACTTATGTTATGACTCAAATGGACTTAATCGATATCTACAAAACATTCCATCCTAACAAAAAAGAATATAACTTCTCAGCACCCAATGGCACCTTCTCTAAAGTTGATCACATTCTTGGCCACAAAGCAAATCTCAACAGGCACGAAACAATTGGAATAACCTCCTGTGTTCTATCAGACCACCATGGTTTAAAGTTAGATTTCAACAACAAAAACTACAGAAAGCCTACAATCTCATGGAAACTGAATAATGCTCAAATGAATCACCAATGGGTTAAGGAAGAAATAAAGAAAGAAATTAAAGACTTCCTAGAGATCAATGAAAATGAATATATCACATACCCAAACTTATGGGACACTATGAAAGCAGTGCTAAGAGGGAAATTCATAGCACTAAATGCCCACATAAAGAAGTTGGAGAAATCTCACACTAGTGACTTAACAACACACATGAAAGCTCTAGAACAAGAAGAAGCAAAGTCACACAGGAAGATTAGATACCAGGAAATAATAAAATTGAGAGCTGAAATAAAAAAATGGAAACCAAGAGAACAATACAAAGAATCAATAAAACAAAGAGTTGGTTCTTTGAGAAAATCAACAAGATAGACAAGCCCTTATCCAAACTAACCAAAAGACAGAGAGAGCACATCCAAGTTAACAAAATCAGAAATGAAAAGGGAGACATAACAACAGACAATGAGGAAATCCAGAAAATCATCAGGTCATACTTCAAAAACCTCTACTCCACAAAACTGGAAAATCTAAAAGAAATGGATAATTTTCTGGATAGGTACCACATACCCAAGTTAAATCAAGACCAGATAAACTATATAAATAGTCCAATAACCCCTAAGGAAATAGAATCAGTCATTAAAAGTCTCCCAACCAAAAAAAGCCCAGGACCAGATGGTTTCAGCGCAGAATTCTACCAGATCTTCAAAGAGTTAATACCAATACTCTTTAAATTGTTCCACACAATAAAAACAGAAGGAACATTACCAAACTCCTTCTGTGAGGCTACAATTACCCTGATTCCTAAGCCAAAGATGCAACAAAGAAAGAGAACTATAGACCGATATCCCTCATGAACACTGATGCAAAAATAATAAAATACTGGCAAACATCTTTATCATGAAGGGGTGTTGGATTGTGTCAAATGTCTTTTCTGCATCTAGTGAGATGATCATGTGGTTTTTTTCTTTGAGTTTGTTTATATGGTGTATTACATTGACGGACTTTCATATGTTGAACCACCCTTGCATCCCTGGGATGAAACCTACTTGATCATGGTGGATATTTGTTTTGATGTGTTCTTGGAATCTGTTTGCCAGTATTTTATTGAGTATTTTTGCATCAATGTTCATGAGGGAGATCGGTCTGTAGTTTTCTTTCTTTCTTGTATCCTTGTTTATCTCACTAGATGCTGAAAAGGCATTTGACAAAATCCAACACTCCTTCATGATAAAGGTCTTGGAGAGATCAGGAATACAGGGAACATACCTAAACATATTAAAGGCAATTTACAGCAAGCCAACAGCCAACATCAAAATTAATGGAGAGAATCTCAAAGTGATTCCATTAAAATCAGGAACAAGGCAAGGCTGTCTACTCTCCCCATACTTATTCAATATAGTACTTGAAGTTCTAGCCAGAGAAATGAGACAACATAAGGAGATCAA